AACAGTTTTTTGTGTCTTCTAAAAAAAAAATTGGACTGTCATTGAAGAATTTATAGTGTCGGTTGAGAGAAGACATTAATTACGCGTTCTTAATTAAATGGCACAAAATCATTGGCATTTAAAAAAAAATGATGCCTAAACTAAACCTAGTGCCCCCAAATTCATAGGCCTAAGAAAAGATTATGACCTAAACATATGACTCTGCTTCGTGATGACAAATCCTCATGTGAAATTGTCAAAGCTGTTTGTTCACAGTGAGAGAAGAGTGAAAGAGCAGAGTTTTAAGATAGAAGCATCCGCGTGGGAGAAGATAAAGAGGACATCTTAAACAATTAAGTGTGCTTTAAATATTAATTAACATAATTTTACTTCACTATTAACTATGCCATAATAATTAAACTTAATTAAAGTTTTGAATGGTGAATATTGATTTGGCAATGAATATGAATTAATTTAAGAGGCTATCCTTGATAGATAGAGAAGGACTATGACTCATCAAACGGCTAGGGACCCATCATCTTCCTCATCTCATCATTCTACAATGCCATCCAAATCCACTTCAATTTCAACCACCATTTTATCACCACACATTTCCTCTGTGATTATCGTGCAAATTTCATCTTCCTACTTATTCATTACTTCTTCTTCTTTTTTCTATATAATTTATGCTCTAAGATATTTATTTATTTTTAAAATATAAATAATTATAAGAAAAATGCTTTTTAATAACACAAAATTATTGATCATAATTTTGATCTATTTACATATTTCCTTCGTTCCTATCTATTTATAGGATTATGTAATTTTCTTAAATGGCGAAAAATAGTTTATTATAGTATGCAATTTCTAAATAATTTAACCAAGAAATGTTAGTTTAAACTTTAATTGAATATGATCTTCATTCTAATGATCAAACATATATCAATAATCCCATATTGTAAACATGTTATAAACTAAATGGGAAAGCGTCACCGAATTGGTCATAATGACAATATCCTTTGTAGAAGCACTTTTGAGTTGATCTTATGGTCTTCCACCTGAAGAACACCTGTATTTCCTCTTGATTTTCTCTCTTGATGGGGATAGAAAGAAAAGAACGGGACTGTAACTTTGTTACTGCATGTGCTTCTCGAGAAGGGACCATGACCCTTTATATAACCAAAATTAGGTTAATTACTTAAGTTTTAGTATTTTCAATTTGGCCCCTCATCAAATTAAAAATTACTCTATGGTCTCTACACAATCATATTTTCATGACATATGCCTTTAGCCAAAACTTTAATTTATTCAGATCACTTTATTATTTGGCTTAATAAATATTGACCCTAACACATTTAAATATGTATCATATATATACATGACCCAAAATTTGCCAACAATCTCCCACTGGTCACAAATATATATGTTTTTACAACCTTACAAATGTGTTAGACTTTATGAGCTCAAAATTGTCATTATATTCCTTTAGCATATTCCAAAAGTCCTGTTCATTAATCATATCAGGATATAGAACCAAACCAGCTTTTCATTGCATCATCGCAACTAAAACCAACAAGATTACTCATCCTGACATAACCAAATGACATGGATTCATCATGAAATGTGTAGCATGAAAAATTACGTGAAGGTGATCTGTACACGTCTATTTTCAACTGGTCCAAACTTTAACTTATCGAGATCGATACAATAACCTTAATGTACAAAGTGTAATGAATGAACAAGAAAACCGCATATCTATAGATAACTAAATATGTCCAAAAAACAATGTATACATATATAAAATTAAACATATATAGAACATAAAATATATGAAAATGACTAACTCCCACTAAACCACAAATTCCTCAAACTGTAAAACACCCATGTGAGCAACATGCTCATGAAAGACCTTGGACGGAAGTCCTTTAGTTAGAGGATATGCTATCATGGAGTTTGTCCTTAAGTGTTCTATGAAAATCTGTCCACTTTGTACTCTTTCCTTAACAATACAGCTGATTTATTGTCACAATATAACTTAAGTGGTCTTTCAATGCCTTTCACAATTTGCAGCCCTGTGACAAAATTTCTCAGTCATATTCCATGATTTGATGTCTTATAGTATGTTACAAATTCTTGACATCCTACAAAATCTGAGTCAGAAAACCCAGCGATCTCCAACTGGTTTGACCTCCTATATGTGAGCATATAATCTTTTGTTCTCTTTAAATATCTTATGACTCTTTTTTGCTGCTTTTTAATGGTCTATTCCTGGATTGCTTAAATATCTGTCTAGAACCCCAACTATGTATGTTATATCTGGACGCGTACATATTTGGGAATACATCAAACTCCCGATAGCTGATGCATGGGAAATCTGTTGCATTTCCTCAATTTCCAAATTCCCCTTTGGGCACTAGTTTAGACTAAACTTGTCTCCCTTAGTAACTGGAGTATCCCCGGCTCATGACGCACAAGTTCTTGAGGATCTTGAGTTTGGTCTTGACGAACAATGAAATCATCTTGAATATGGGGTTTATCATCAATGTCTTGTGGAGGTTCCGAACTTACTTTATCAAAAGTAACTGTTTGAATCGGTTATGAATTTATTGTCGATTCTTCCTCCAATACAAAATTCTTAATCTTATTCTTCCCCCCAAACTCAATATCCTCAAAGAACATAACAGTTCTCATCTCAAAAATTGTCTTTAATGTGGGATCATAAAATTTATATCCCCTGGCTCTTTCAGAATAACTAATGAAGTAACTACTTATTATTTGGGAGTCCAATTTTAGTTTAATATCATGAGATTCTGCATTAAGAGTTTCATTATAGGTGACCACAGTATCAAGTAAATATAGATTATCATTAGCCAAAAAATGAACCAGTTATAACTATATCTGAATTAAAAGACAGACTGAACTTATTGTTTCCAAATGAACACAAATAATCTAATTTGTCCAAATAAGAAACTGAAACCAAATTCCGTCTAAAAGACGGCACGACAAAAAATGTCTTTTAAATCTAAAATAAAAAACCAGTACACAATAATAATCTAAAATGTTCAATAGTCTCCATCTCCACCAATTTGCCATTTTCAACGTATATTCATCTTTCAGAATTAGTTGGCTTTCGGTAGTTTAAGCAACCCTTTCTTTTCACGCCAAACATGATATTTAGCACATTTCTTCTTTACGTGTCCAGTCTTACTGCAAAAGAAACATTTATTTTCTTGAGTTTGTTTCTTTTGTTCTGGACCTTTAGCAGCTTCCTTCTTGGGATCCTCCGATCTCTTTCTTTTGCCATTAGCCTTAAAGGTGCTTGCAAAATGAGCACTTTCTGTCTTGTCTTGTTTTAGCCTTTCTTCTTCTTGCACGCAATGAGAAATGAGCTCATTAAGAGACCATTTATCCTTTTGACAGTTGTAAGATACCTTAAATTGATTAAACGTTGCGGGAAGAGAAATCAACACCAAATGAATGAGTAAGTCTTCTGAGAGTTCAAGCTTTAACGCCTTGAGCTTAAAAACAATATTAGACATGCTCATAATGTATTCCCTGATATTTCCTTTGCCCTGATATTTCATGGAGATCAAGTTCTGAAGAAGAGTGCTTGCCTCCGCCTTATCGCTTTTTGCAAAGCGCTGTTCAATTTCAGCAAGAAATTCTTTGGCACTTGTGATGTTTTCGAAACGGTGCCCCTAAACATCTCGGGATGCCGCGCTTAATGATCATTAGACTCATGCGATTTGAGCGATCCCACTTCTCATAATCTCTTTTTTGTTCGGAGGTACTTGAATCGGTAGGAGTAGGGGGTTGCTCGATCCTTAACGCAAGATCCATATCCATGCGGCCAAGAATAATATCAATATTCTCTTTCCGAGTCCTTAAAATTTGTTCCATTGAGGATCGGAACGAAATTCAAATTTGCGGATACTGAAGCAATTGTAGTTGAATTAGAACAAAAGAAATAAACTAATTATGCTCACATTATAAAATAAATAATTATAAATAAAATATATATTCAAATAATGGTTTAACCCATCTCAAGACACCCAATGCACCATCAATATCAAGTCTTTGGACAATAATATTAACTGCTTAGAGGTATCTTGTTGTAATAATCAAACATTGACAATAAAGCACGTCCAACAACAAACCAGTCTTTGGATTGATTTATCATCGACAAAGCAAATCCTTATAATTATCACATGTTTATCATTACAAGTGTGTGTGCAATTCGACCAAATATTAATCTTCCTTTGAGTCGACTAATACTCGCATGAATATACACAAAACACTAACATTCAATATTTTTCATGAACTGCCCAATTCAAGAGAGGTTACTTTGGTAACTTCTTGACTCAATTTGCTCACAAAAATTATTAAACTACCAAAAAAATTGAATATTATATAACAAAACCAAAATTTGATTATTTATTAAAAAAAAATTATAATGGCGCGGACCACCACTGTAATTATTTTCTTTTAAAAATATTAATCCCTTAATCTGAATTAGCCAAATAGTCCCTTTCAAATTTCCTTCTACGATTCATTTATGGGAGCAATACATCAAATTGTACTACAATGTCGTATGATGACTTTTTATTCGTATGATGACTTTTTATTTAAGGCGGTCCCACGACATTAACTCCATCATATTCACCTTCTTGTCCACACATACCACGTATGATGGCTTGTTAATTAAGGTAGCGGGTCCCATGACATTAATACCATCATATGCATGTTTCACATAAGGTTTAGTGTGCGGCAATCCCTTATTAAACAATGGCTTGTTGAACGGACGAGGAAACAGGCATTTAACAATACTGTGCAAATCCATATTATCCAACAGGCGTGGAACCTTGGATCGGGAATCGATAAATTCCTTAGAAATGCCATTACCAACCAACGAAACCAGTTGAGCTGCCACAGATATTGCAGGAATCCATGAAGAAGACTTAAAATTCTCAATGTTGTAAGGAAACTCCTTCAAATACGACAACCCAAAAGAAGCCTTGGACTCAACAATAGCAAAAAAACAAGTCCCTATGATACTGAACTTCCGTCACCCGGAGCTTCTTCATGAGGTCTAAGACCCTCTTAGTATTGCCCCTCAACCGCATTTTTGAATCCGGCATCAAACCATTGCAAGGATCAGTACAAACCCGAACAAGTACCCCAAACGCCACCTCAGCAGCATCACCACCACCCTCCCTTCCACAAAACTCAACCAACTGCTCCAACGTAGCACTCCCAAACAACACACTCCGAAGCCCTAGCGGCACCAACGACTCCACAACAAGAACCCTATCTCTTAACACCGTTAACACAAACACACATAGTTATACTCGGTCTAAACATCTCAAAATGGAGGAGAACACGAAATCCAGTGGAAATTTTGTGTAAAGACCTTTGCTTTAGGTCAAAATCGAGAATCCCCAAAACTCAATTGACCAAATAATCACCGAAAAATCCCATACTCTTCGCCGGAAAAATCGAACCTTTCAAACTGCTATCGTACCAGATACAAAAGCAGGCGAGACCGAACTGAGAGTTTTCTCTGGCGAAAACAAAGAACCGGCCACAAAATGCAAAAGGTTTAGTGAGTCAACTCGAAACCCTAACTCGACATTAACCCTCTTTCTCTCCCTTTTTCTCACTAATTGTCTTCCTCCTTCTGCTTCTAGGTGCACTGAAGCAACCCCAATCGCCGCTGCAAAACCCCCGTATGAAACCTCCTGAGTGTGCCACCGTCGTTGGATAATAACACCGTCGCCGCTCGCAACCACGACGTAGCGGACCAGGAACATGAACCACCGTGCCATCGCCGACGACCAATGTGCAGACGCGTCATTGCTCTCGATGACCATCACCGTCAGCACGCCATTGCCGGAGAATCTCTCCAACGCTTCCCCTTTCCGTCGCGAGCAACTCCGCTACTTAATTAGCCAATGAAGACGAAGGAGCAGAAGCAGATTGGGGTTTTCACCCCTCAAATTCGAAATTAGGTTTTAAAAGTGGGGATTTTACCCCAAATTTAAATTTAGGGTTCGTAAAATTTGGAGATTATTCTCTACGTGAATTCTTAAATCTCAATTTTGTTAAATCTAATTTCCAAATGCAAACATGAATCAAGTATGTGTTGCTCTGATACCAATTGTTAGTTTAAACTTTAATTGAATATGATCTTCATTCTAATGATCAAACATATATCAATAATCCCATACTGTAAACATGTTATAAACTAAATGGGAAAACGTACCTGAATTGGTCATAATGACAATATCCTTTGTAGAGCACTTTTGAGTTGATCTTATGGTCTTTCACCTGAAGAGCACCTGTATTTCCCTCTTGATTTTCTCTCTTGATGGGGATAGAAAGAAAAGAACGGGACTGTAATTTTGTTCTGTCTGTGTGCTCTCAGAAGGGGACCATGACCCTTTATATAACCAAAATTAGGTTAATTACTTAAGTTTTAGTATTTTCAATTTGGCCCCTCATCAAATTAAAAATTACTCTATGGTCTCTACACAATCATATTTTCATGACATATGCCTTTAGCCAAAACTTTAATTTATTCAGATCACTTTATTATTTGGCTTAATAAATAATGACCCTAACACATTTAAATATGTATCATATATATACATGACCCAAAATTTGCCAACAAATACATATGATTATATTTAAAGATATTAGATAGGTAAGTGAGACTTTTGATATTATAAAAAATGATAAAATGTGTGTAAAATAGGACGTGTAAACAATGGAATGGGAGATTCAATCAATTTGAACCGTCCAAGCCTCCTTCCAAAACTATTCATGCTTTATCAACGGTCGGTGAGCGTCCCAGCGTTAATCAACGGCCTCTCACCAAAACCCTATTCAAATGCCTTGGACAATCCATTTAATTAGTCAGAAATCCAAATTTGAAGATTTTATTTTTATATTTGGTTAAGGAGTTTGAACATGGAATGGACAGTGACCAATTCTCAAAAAATATGAATAGAGAACAAAATGGGTGGCTCAAGAAAACCTTAAAGAATGAATATCCATGGCCTCATGGCCTGCAGGTTTGCCTTGTGCAACTCCACACCAACAATACTGAATGTCATGGACCACTTTCTCCATCACTCCTTCCACATCTTCTTCACAAATTATTCTACTCTCAATAACAAATTCTTATTTAATTAATTTCTACATCGCAAATTAATAATTTTCATTAATTTATAAAATTAAAAAAATAATTACTGGAAGAAAATAGCAGGAATAATTTAATAATTTGGTTGTGTAGGGAATGAATGATTAGGATGAAGCGTTGGATGCAGCGATGAAAGGGCACGTGGTGCAGACTCTGAAAGAAGGAGACAGTGTTAACCTAGTTATCCTCGGCGAGTGAGAGTATCAGTGTATATCTTCTTTCCATTAATATTTTTTGTTCAAATGTAGAAACCAGGACCCAAGGTGGGTCCCATTCACCCCATAAATTATCATTATTTGTAACGAATAGTGAAAATGAGAAGCGTAATAAAACGTGGACAGGTGTCTCCAAATCCCCTTGGAACGGACGAGGAAAGGGTGAAATTACATCACCACAGTTGCACGTGGAGAAAATTTAGGTTTTTGTTTTGTTGGGAGCACATTTCAATAATAATTAATTGATTAAAGTAAAAATAAAAAAATAAAACCCCTGGACGAAGGTAAGTGCCAATCCTAACTGTTGGTTGAATGATTGCGGCCCAAACCAAACAGTCATTATTTCAATTCCTAATTCTTATCCCTTTCTATCCTACTTCTCCTGTTACTCTTTCAATATTTGGATAAACCACAAAAAAAATAAAAATTAACTCTTTTTTATTTTTATTTTTATTTTACCTTAGTGTTCATTTGAATCATTATGACAAAACCCGATTACGTTAACATAGGAAAATGCTAAATGTTACGTGTGTGAAAAAAAAAACGTTTTTTCACTCTCCCCGAATCTAGAAACATTAGTAAAAAACTATTGGTATAAAATAACACTGGACGTGGTTGGTTTATATAACATGATCTACTAAATTTTTTAATTAACTAATCTGGAGTAACTGTCAGGTTGATCATCTGCAATCTCCGCGTAACCTGCGCGTTTCTTTTAAGTAGAAAAATATTCGTAGGTAGCATGGATTAATGAATGGTAAATCGACACTACAGAAATATAGAAGCAGGAATGAGTTAAAAAGTTGATGACGATGGGCGAAACTTGGTGCGATACTGAGACGGTTAATCTGGTAATCAATTACAACTTTTGCTTTAACTAACCCCAATCTCCATCACTTTTCATCCATTCTTTGACCACCAAATATCACCTTCACTTTAACCAAAATTAAAAATACAGGGGGAGTATAATATGACGAGAAGCTTGAGGCGAATAAGGTATAATTTAATTTATGGGTCTTGGAATAATAATAATATTGAAAAAAGGGATGTTGCGTAGAAAATTTAGCATAAATAGGGTGGTTGATTGAAGCTGCCCTTCTACTACTTCCCTTCTCTACCTTATCATAAAAAACCAGAAATGAATGACTCACATTAGCCAACACTAAACGCCGCTCTAGTACTCTCTATATTCTGCATACATCACTTTTTGTTTTTCTTCTTTCTTTTTTCTTCTTTCTTGCTTTCATTCTCTCATTCACCATGGCTTCGGATGAGACCATGGCCTTCATCTCTTCCTTACAAGAAGAGGACTTTTATGATGATGATGACGATGTTGATGATGAATTTGATGAGCATCATCTCCAACACCCTCATCCCCATAACTTGTCCAGGCTTTCAGTGTGTACCAGCAGCACCTTTGGCGTCGACGACAACGACGATGACGTTGACAATCTCGTGTCCATGTGCGTGTCACGCTTTTCCATAGAAAGCTTTGACGCAGATGGGGAGTTATCAGATGGGAAGGAGATATCCTCCGACTCAGAAAACGAATTGGGGAGTTGTTACTCTTTGCCCTCCACGCCCCCACAAAGGAGAAAACAGGTTAAGGATTACGCCAGTGACAGTGGGGGACATGGAAACGGAACGAAGAAGAATGATCCTCGGCAGAGGAAGAGGAGAACGAGGAGGGAGGGATGGGGGTTTGAGTTTGAGGGAGTGGAGAAGAGTAAGAGAAAAGAGGAGGAACATGTGGCTCAAGGATTCAGTGGAGAGAGTGATCAAAGTGGGGTGATGCTAATAACTAGGCCAAAAGGTGGGAAAAGGTCACTTTGCATGGATTTGGAAGAAGTAAAAGCTTGTAGAGATCTTGGGTTTGAGTTGGAACACGAACGCATGCTTGAGATCCCTTCTCGTCTCTCTTTCTCCAATTCCACACTCGAAACTAGCAGTGGTAGCAACTCTCCCATCGCCAATTGGCGTATCTCTGCTCCAGGTATATATCTATTTATATATCTTATCAGAATTCAAGTTTCGTATCAGTAATATTAAAATTCAGTATAGAGCATCGAAATCATAGATGGGGAATAACATAAGTACTTACTTAGGAAGTTGTTTCTAAGTTTTGTCTTATGTTTAATTGGCTTTCATTCTCCTTATACCAAACATCGTCTCTGTAATACTATGTTACATTTACAGTGTGGGATATTGATTTTATATATTTGCTGTTGTGGTGATTGATGCTTGTAAGGAATTGAAGAATGAAGTGATTGGTCTCTCTGATGATTTGTAAAAATAATTGTGAATTAGGTGATGATCCAAGAGACGTGAAGGCTCGGCTGAAGGTGTGGGCACAGGCGGTGGCACTAGCGTCTGCATCAAAATACAGCACATGAATTCGATTTTCCCCTAACTCCTACCCATTTCCTCTCTTTTTTTGTGCGAATAGAGATTATATATTACAGGGTATTATGATATAAGTTTTTTTGTTTTCTTCCCACTATGATTATTGGTTATATAATTTTGTTGTAGAGCTTTTGTTTCCATTAGGAGTGTTGAGGTTTCATTTCAGGTGGAAGTTACTTTTTGAGTGGTGATCACTTTTGCTCTGTACAGGAGTAGTGTTTGAATAAGATGAAGAGACCCTGATGAGAGAAATTAGGGTGTGAATAGCCAATGAAAAATATGTAGTAGAAAGAAATGTAAATGGGCAATGAGAAAAATGGTGGAATTTATATGGGAATTTTGGATTCGTTGTGATTTTATCTGTCGCCAAGTTTAAGAAAAACGTGGCAGAGACACACCTCATCAAAAGTTATTTATTTATTTTTTATCTTGAAACAAAGAAGCGTTTAAAAGTCTCTCCAGGTAAAACAAACATACAAACGGTCAATTATTAAACACTACTGTTAATGCCGTAACTGAATATTTATCAGTTGTGTTTGAAGCGTCCACGTTATTTAAAAAAAAAAAATTGAATTTAAAAATTATTGTATCATTTACTTGTCGGCAATGTAACTCATTAGTCAAGGAATGGGTGGGGTAAGTGATTCCACATTTTATTGTATATTGAGAAAATATAAAGAAAAAGTTACCTCATCATATTTTTGAGATAAAAAATTAGGGAGAAAATTTAATATAAAAGTATAATTAGATTCTAAAGCATGAAAAAAATAGAGTTTATTAGATTCTAAACCTTGGATTCGATCTACAGTTGTATAGCCACTAGATATGAGTTCTGTTGTCGTATCTATGCACCAGACATTCATCTCGTAAACAAACCCACTAAACACGTCAACCTGTGTCAACGTTTGATACGTGTGTTCAAAAATTAAGAAAAATCGAAAGTACTGTTTGGCACTGTCTTTGCAAAGCTTTAACGCGTGATAATGATATTTAGTTAAAGTTAAATTTATGGCGAGTGATTAATTTGACTAACCAACCATTTTCCGGGATTTTTATGAAACTATTTTATTCAGTCATTGAAATTAAAAAAAGTTATAAATATATTTGAAAAGATGGTTTGATTTGCATTTTATTGAAGACGTTACTTTTTGTCAAAAATCTCCCGTCGATATTTCTTTTTTACATGATAAATTATTTGATAAATCGTGAAAAATATTTTTCTAACTTAATCTACAATTTTATAGAAATATTTAGTTGGTGCTTCTATTAAAAAAAATGACTACAAACAAATTGAATAAATGTAAAGTTTGATTTGAACCTTACCGGTGGTCCATTGGTTTGCAAAGAGATCCATGATTCACGGACTCTGTAAGGTGGGTAGGTGTACTGCATGCTCAACTCATTGAAACCAGCCCACTCCACAGGCCCACGTTCGACAAGGGCCCATATACCGGCTTCGGATCTAACTAATCATATTTGATTCATCTAATATTCATATTTCTTTTTTCATGAACATAATTCACACAGTATATCAGAAATTACAATCAAAAACTAATTTGTGTTCGTGGAATGTAGCTTCGATTAACCAAACATTATTTTAAAACTGTATGAATCAATCCTAGGACCATCAGTGTGCTTGTCCCAAAATAGACTTTGCCCCTTTGGACCAAAAGACTTGGTTAACTACTATTCATATATAGAGACACATTGTTCAGATAACAACTTTAACTTCCAATCCAGATACATGACATTAAGATAAAGATGAACATACTTAGTTTAATTTTCAGATTCAAATGCAAATGACCTAAAATTAGGTCGAATTATATATAAATTACAATCTGCTTCACATGGATAAGAATAGAAACCAACTAAAAAATAGAGATAAAAGATATTATAATGAACTAAAGCTAACAGATACGCCAAATCAGTTTAAATAGCTAAGCTATACTACGAAGATAGAGAGAAAAGTTGTTGCATGATATGCTATAACAATTTGGTAAACCTACTTTGTATGTAGAAGTTTGTTTCCTCAACAGAGTAGTCACAGCTAGTGGTTTTGCAGTTTGGTGAACAGTTAGATTATGATTGAAGTTTGATGAACGTGATGGTAAATTCATAATAATAATAATAATCATAGAAGGGATGGTGCAAGTACAAATATATGTCACCATTCAATACCCCCTGAAGTCAAAAGATATGGTAGGGAACATATCCATGCTTGGGGAAGCATGATTAATGATTGTGATGAACATTCACAATGATGAGTAGAAGAGATTAATGAAGTCTAATAATTTTAATTATGGAATGAAATGGTATTAGAACAAAAGATAAAAGTAAATTTTAAATTAATTGTGGAATTTTTAGAACAAAGGGAACTGTTGAATTGGCTACAAGTATTTAGAAGATTTGAGGAGGTACTAACATAGTTGTAGGTTGTTCTTCCTTACCAAATTGGTTGCTCTAGTCCTAAAACATATATTGCTGACTCTTAACGAGTAACTAATAGCTGACATAGTCCATAGATAATCATAGGAGACTTAACTGTAAGATTGAATAAGGACAGGCAAACCTGCCCATGGTACATTGAATTTTTGGGCTAACGCTGTCCACAGTGCACTAGGAGCAATTAATTAACAATAAAATACTTAGCATATATAGGCCAGCACTATAAGGCAGCCTGGTGGAGCGAGAATATGTCATGGTCATGGTAGATGTGTCATCACCACTGCAAAGGAAGAATATGAGAATTTCAGTCTCACTGAGGAACTGTAAAGATGGCATTCAGAAAGGAAGGGAGGGTGAAGTAAAAGTCAACCTTGAGGACTGGTAGTCCACCACAGTAGATCTACCAGCTCTGCAAAAGCAGGATAATGTCAATCTCAATCTAAATGTCACAGTGGAATTGAAGAAAAGACAAAGGGGGCAATTTTTGTTATATTTGAAAGGGACAAAATAGGAAGACAATGATAATGTTTTTTTTCTTCCTGTTTAGATGACAGTGTTAGTGTGTCAGCTCATGCTGGTAGTGGTGGAAAGACATAATAACAGTGAGCTACTCTGCGATTAAGAGGCAAAAAGGCAAATAACAGAAGGGGTGCACAAGACTGGGGAATTCTCCTTCTAGAGAGAGAATGAATACAGCAACTGAAATTTATTCCATTTTACGGAATTTCTACAATGAGATAATGAATATGAGGTCTACTTATCATACGTAGAATCCTGTCAGAAAAATGATGTTTTCAGTAATCACGTTTCAATCTTGTTTTTAACAAATATCAAACCTTGAAAGGTGGCGTGATAAATTGAAAAGGGCAACACCCTTGAGGCATAGGTTAGAGGTCCCTGCTAAATATTAGTACAAGAAAATGTAATATCTTCCAAGATACGAAGGTAGCAGAAGAAGCACAAGCCTAATTGCTAATTTTGGATTTTTAATCGAAAGAAATCTTACCAAGATATTAACAAACAGATAGATCTAATTCATTGCAACCTCAAACAAGAACTATATTTATTTTCATTACAATTGATGAATGTTACATACACAAATGGCAATTACAATGATGATATTGACAAAATATCAATTTGCCACTTGAAAAATCAAGAAACTTTCACTCACTTGAAGACTAGATTGTGGCAGGTTTTGTCACAGGGATAAGCACAGTCTATAGCTTTGACAATTTTCCGATCGAAAAACCAGTCTCCAACAGCAATTGCAATTGGCTGCAGGATAAGTTATATCAACTTATCAGATGACTTTTCAGTAAGAAACAGTAAATACTGAATAATTTCACCCAAAGGCATAATTTCACTTTGTCTTAGACCTCAACAAAGAAGCGTTTGCAATCAAATTAAAGGTATATATTTTTTGAATGACTGTTTTCCTTTTCGTGAAAGGGTCCGATGTATCTACTGTAATGCTTTTAACCATGAAATGCAACTGTAGATGAAAAAGGTTTATGCGAACATTTCAACAGTATTGAACTTATACGGTAATTAGTCAATGATCCTCGCATCCCAGATGATTTATCGGCATATAGCTTGAAATCTTTATCATTCTTTTTATTTTATACATAAAAGGTAGCCGCTTGCATTGATTCTAAATGATAACATCTTAACGGAGATTTTTAAAATATTTTTTGAATCTCCATGCATTATCTCTCATTAAAGAGTCTTTTCAATACTCCCAATTAAAAGAAAAAATTAGTCTAAAAAACTCCAATGTTACATTCCACCAGCACAGTTTTAGAAGCAGAGAAATCTAAATCATACATACCATCCTGTTAATAAGTGGAGAGTCATCAGCAAACCAAGTATCCTGTCTTTCGGACTGGCAATGGGCAAAACAAGAATTGATGAATAACCCAGTTTGAGACTCCCCTGAGGAGCCTTTGACTTCGTTTAGCATTTGATTTCTGAAGTCTGATTCAGAGAAAAGAGATATATATTATATTTCAAAGAAACTAGATGATTGTAGATATGCATCAATTGGTATGCACAATATACAATTTCACACTGGTAGAGATCAAAGTGACCTTGGAAGAACTGAATTTGAGATGAGTTACAGCGTGCATGATTATATTTACAATCATGCCAAGAGCCATGGGGATCTGCTGAAGGAGGGACCAAACTTTCTTGGACCTAACGGAAACAAATAAGAGAGATTTAGTCCATATTAAAAAGAGATCAGTGGTAATCAGGTTGCCACTGGTACAAACGGGATGATAACCATCCATAATCATAGTGAATATATGATTCCTGCTTAGCTTGACCCAGGACTTTTGGTTACATATAAAATAACTTAACATTCAACACTAATTTACTCAACGATGGTTGAATTCAATGTGCCAACAGGGCTTAGGCTTTTACTGTGAATTGGGTATTGGTAAAAGTCCAAATTAAAATTATTTTTCTTGTACATAATAGAACCATTGCAAACAATGGTTAAACAAGAAAACATGACATCCATATGATAACATTTTGAGAACAAATAAAGAGACGCAAGCTTACAAGCATATAATTAAGGCACTTTATTACATAAAATTATGAGAGAACAGTGTATCCGTTAATATTACCTGCCATGCATCATAAGCTGCATTAAGTAGAAACAATGGAGTCTCAACATGGTTCACCAAATTCTGAGGAAAAAAGCACTGCACAAAGAAAATTTATGTTTAAAACTTGGAAGTTTTACAATTTCAAGTTATCAACAGCATGACATTCAGAATAAAAAAATTACCGAAGTTGGGTCCAATTGGTTGAGACAACTTTTTGGCAGATTTTTTTGCACTTCCTACAGTTTCAACAACATCAATGACATGACATACTTATTATGCATAGTTTCTGAAATCTATATTAAATAAGTAAAACCAGTAACAAGAAAATTCATTGAAAGCTTGAACTAAATGACTCTTCAAAATTGAGCTCAGAGCAACATAGATCCATAATGTTATATTCAATTTAGTACACTTTTATTTTTTGCAACATCAAACATTACCTGTAAGTTAACTACACCTCCAAACAGATTCCTCATTGTGCGAACCCCAGAAACATCAACTCTACATGATTGAGCAGATAATCAATTATTGTTGAATAATATGATGTCATAAAGTGTTTAATGTAAATTGAATGTATATAATATTCAGCTCCTTGAACATTATCTATATCACCTCTAGAATACCACCAACAATTATATCTAAGCTTCTAGGCTGATGGTGTGGGTTAGTAGAAGTAGTATAAAACAAAACTTACGCATCAAGGAAAAGCCCTGCGTCACTCAAACATTTCACTTTGGTAGATCTAGGAAACAAGGTCCGGAACTCATCACAATGTATTATAGATGCTAGACCACCTGCAGAGCATCCAGACAAAAGAGCCTGATAAAAATAATTAGTTAGTATCTATAATGGATATTGAAGATTGATTAATAAATTAAGATAAAGAGACATGGAAAACCTGGTTGGCCTTCTGCATTCCCTTTGACAATAATTCCTCCATTGCAGCTTGCCAAATCTTTTGTCCTCGGAATTGAAGGTCTGCAGCCTGAAACAAATTTACATACCAATATAACAATAAATTCATAAAATGAAGAATATATTCGTATGCAACCAACTCATCAGCACTAAAATATATTAGCATGTTATATATAGTCCATATCAACAACGATTCGTAAAAAAAAGGTCTACATTTGAAAAAAATAGAAACATTAGTATCTCTACATTTTGTCATAAAAAGCAAATGTAGATTGTATCACAAAAGTTGCCTCCAAGAGATGCAACCAAGGCATACATGAGTAGAAGAATGGAGTAACACTAGGACCAAAACAACACTAGGACAATATGCAAAATAAACAGAAAAAGTCTGCTTATTTACTTGAGGTCACTGCCAATTGACTGAATGTACCAATAACTACATAGATAAAAGGGGGAAAATATATAGTACTATACTTTCATACTCTCACTAACCTTGTTTTGACTATCTCCACTAAAAGATGCCCCATCACAGTACCGTACTTTAACTCTGTTCCAGTTAAAGAAATCTGTGAACACAATAAAATATCCGAAAAAATGTAAACACAAAAGACTTGAGTAAGCATATCCTTAAACTCCACAAGGAAATAATGCACTCATGTGTAAGGTAAAGAGAAAAACCGGGGTTTTCTTCAGCTTTATTGCTCAATATCCCTGTGAATGCTAGTTGCTTTTCCATGAATTTTGAGGAACCACGACGAGTAGTTTTTCTGAACACACAACTTTTTATGGTATTACACCATCCTCCTCCCTAAGCAAGTCAGGTAGGCCAGTATTTAAAGAGGTATAAATTATAATCACATTTTGTCTATAAATTATCGCAGTTGCATACAGATTTGAAATTTAAGAAATTGTAAAATCTTCAAAATATTCTTAAAATACACGTGGATATTCTGTTACATACCTCCAATTGAATGAGCCAACTATTTGCTCCAGATCCAAAACCAGGATGAAAGTGGTAACCAGGCAACGTTCCATCCAAACAAACTGGTAATTCAGGATAAAACAAAATTATAAATCTTGAATATGAATTGGAAGTGGACAGAGAGATTTGTGCATGTTTGGTTGCACTTGCGTCATCTAAAATTACATTGAAATATCAACTAATGTAGGTAAATGATCACATGTTTGATCTCATGCTCAAGAATTCATTCCAGGTCTATAATTAATGCAACTCTAGGTAACATTTTCAATAAACCTTTTTTAGAGTTCTACAATTAATTTGCATTCAGAATAAAAATACCCAAAAGTAAATCAGTCCACTAATAAATTCTAATAATCATTATCAATTATGCAAAATACACTTCATTAAAAAATAATTTTGCAATCGCTAAACACACGCATTAGAGACAGTCTTTATACACCATGACATCAATAACGAAGAGCTCAACTAACCTTAAAAGCATTCCAAATATAGTGTCCATCCTACTTCTACAGGTACTATGTTAGACCTTGAACATTCATAGTCCCGTTCAAAGACAGTAAAACAGAAAGTGGGAAATGACAAACAATACCAGAAAGACTTTGAAAGGATGAGAAATGACAAAGAGAGAATTCGGGGGGGGGGGGGGCACAAAGTGAAAATTCCAATGCCAAGTAGGGAAGATACTGTTACAGTGTGGCTTAATGGTGAAGCCAGCATTCAAATAATTTCAAAGGACGTAACTTCAAGAAATTACGAGGAAATTTACAAATAATTTCATTCATTCATTGAGAGAGAGAGAGAGAGAGAGAGAATGGGAGGGAGATACCGGCTCCTTTGGAAGCAGCTTCCTGAATAAGAGTGAGAGGAACCAAGAGAGGCTTTGCAGCAGATGAAACGGTATCGTTTTGGAACAGGAGCTCAGACTCAGATCTAGCCTTGATAACCACGGAAACAAAGGTAAATGCTATCAGAATGAGCATCTTCATCCTCATTTCTGAGTCTACTCACTAAGCTTAATCACTTGTCTTGTGATATTTGTTTGTTCTTTATATAGAACACTGAATCTCGGTTACTGCTCAAGTAATAAAAAAGGGTTTTTTATTTTTATCGCGGATAAAACGGAATCGGACATGCATCTAATGTAGCTCGTATGTCTGCACCAACACACCTCTGCTTGTCCCTTTTTGGTTTTGTCCAATTATTTTTGCATGTGCCGTGATAACTGCATTTGTTGTGTTGTGGAATATTTTTGGCTAAGCAATTTTCTCCATATTTGCTTTGTTAAAGACAGTAACTGGAAAATAATTCAAATATTATGCAGCTTTAATGATTGATGAATGTTACTTGTAAGCATTTAAAAATAATAAATGCGTATTTAATATGTTTTTAACCTTCATAAATATTGATGAATGTTCCTAGTAGTTTGCAAAAGGTATTAATTATACATTTAATAGTAGTAATTATGTAATCTTCCAAAATTTTGATGCATGTTACTCTCAACATTTAAAAATAATCTTTATCTTTAAAATATGTATATGATTAATTAGAAAATTATTAATTTTTATTATTTTTCATAAAAACAAAATTCATTAATATTCTTATTCTTTCTTCTATTAAAGTTACTTCTACCAATTTGTTATTTTATTTCATAAATATATTTAAAAAATAAAAATTTAATTAATAAAAGATATTAATATAATTTTAAATTTTATTTATAACAAAACTCTCAAAAACACAATATTTATTTAGAAACAAATGAAGTAATAAGTATATATTATTAATTACTTTAATAGAGTTTTTTTTCTGAATTATATCTTTTCATCACATTTTATTATTTTGATATTTTACTTTATTTAAATAATTAAATATCATTAAACTAATCTTTCAAGGCTATTAAACATTTTTTTTCATTAAATTGTTTTTTTACTGCTTAACTAGTAAAATAGGAATATTAAGTATATTTTGTTGCTTAAAAAACAATTGGACATAAGTAGCTTGTATGTCAGCAACAACGCTCCAGTCGGTCCATTTTTGTTTTTATCAAACTTTTTCAATATCCCCTAAAAATCACCTTTGTAGTGACTATGTAGTATATTTGTCCCAATCATATAATTTTTTTATTAATACAATATTTCAGAAAATTATATAGTGATTTATAATAATTAATTTTTACTTGTAATCTCAATCAACATATATTGATAATATATGTGTCTACTTTTGTATATATATATATATATACATATATATATGTATATATATATATATATATATATATATATATATATATATATATATATATATATATAATTTGAGATTATGAAATCATCAACTATATTTTTCAATATTGTATTAATATTTATATTTTTTATATAAAAATTTAAGATCTGTTTAATAATAAAAAGAAATAAAAATAAAGTAAAAATATTATTGTTTGTTAAAAAAAAAGTAATATAAAAATTAAGGATGTTTATTTAAAAAATAATAAATAATTAAGTATTTAATTAAAAAATAATTCATATAACTATTAATTAATTTGTTATTAATAAAATAGTTTTTTGATATATATTTTTATTAATATGTATTTTATATGTAATTATAAATTAAATTTTATTATAATTTTTTAAAAATTATTTTAAATTAAAAATAATATCATATTATAAATCTATAAAAAAATGTATTAATCTATTTATTTGTTTATTATAATCATTTTTATATTTATGAAATTTTATTAAAATAATATTTATATATATATAAATTATAAATATAAAAAATAATTATTTATTTAAATGAGAACAGTTTTATAAAATAAAATTTTTTTAAAAACATTTTCTACTGATAAATGAAAAGTGAAAATGATAATTTTTTTATTTTCCTATTTACTAAAAAAATAATTTATTTATTTATTTTTGTATATTAATCATTTCCCATCTTATATTTCCTTCATAAATTGTGGAGCCTAATAAGAGAATAAAAAAAATATCATATATGGTTATCTTTTAACTACTATACATAAAGTTAATTGTCTTTTAGATATATATTAACTACACTACCTCAAGTTAATTGCCTTTTTAGATGTGTTTTTGGAGAATAATTAAAAATTAATCAAAATGTCAAAGCTTCTTAATTAAAAGATATGTTAACATAACTCAATCAATTTGAATTAATAAATACGCCTTTTAGTTTTTTTTTATTTCAATAATAAAAATATTATTCAAAATAATATTTTTTATTTTATATAAATCAAATGTATTTATCTAAAAAAAATGCCAAGCAAATAAGATTATCACATATGAAAAGAAAAATCTTCTTCTAAATATTTAATAGTTATAATTACAAAAACTTGTTCATATTACTGTTAAGCATTCTTCTAAGGATGATTTTTTTTTCTTTCCTATAAAAGGAATTGATGTAATATATATATATATATATATATATATATATATATATATATATATATTAATTGACATACAGTAATTAATATACAATATATAATTATAATTCAGTATTTAAATTAATTAATGATACATTTTAATAAATTTATCGATTAATATCTATTGAATATTGACATTTGATATATTTCTTTTCTTGCTATTTAATATATTAAATACAAAAGTTTGTGTGTAATATTAATTATATATTAAATTTAATAAATAACCTCATTACCTATGTTAAATACATAAATGAATTATGTGTTATATATTAATAAACATAATGTGTATATTAAATACATATATTAAATGTAACATTAATTATACATCATATTTACTGAATTTTAAAATTAGTATGATTTAATATTATATAAATACTATATTTATAAAATTGTGTGTAAAATTAATTATATTTTACACACCCAAAAAATATTAATGATATATCATATTAAATAAATATAAAAAAAATAATTATTATTTATTTAAAATGTATATCAGTAAAGTGTGTAATATTAATTATATATTTCATTTTTAATAGTTACATAATATTATATATATATATATATATATATATATATATATATATTGTGTATATAAAGTTTATTTTAAAAAAATAAACTATATTTCATAAATATTATATTTAACAATATTAAACATAACCTTGTATTATATTTTTTAAAATATTATTTAATATTTATGTAAATGAATACTAAATTAGTAGAATAGATGATACTACTTTATATTAAAAACTATAAGTTTTTAAATATTTGGAGCAAGTTTTTAATATAAAATCTCCCTACTCCTTTTTATCACAAGACCTCAAGTCAAAGAGTATGTCTAATTCTCCACCACAGAAAAACAATACGTCAATATTAAGATTTTCAAGGATCTCATAAGGTACTGGCAAAACGAATGATGCATTCATCTCCACTACGGTGTTATATGATTAGTCTTTTCTCTCCATGAAAAATGGAGACTACCGGTCTCAGCAAGAGTTTCTCTTAGACTCAAGCTACCTCCACTATAAACATGTCGTCATCGACACTTTTCTGACTATTCTTCATATCGGGAGTGTAATTCTCACTATCTTTCTCAACCTTAATGTTAGCTTGAAAGATCTCAAAAATTAAAGGTTCAGATCTAGATCATTTGAGCTGAGCAGGTAGCTGATGCACTATCAGCCACCCTCCACCATCAAATTATATACAGGTTGCAAGATTATGCTATCAATCTTGTGCTATCATCCTGTAAGGATGAAATACTATTCGTCTTGGCTAACAACTAAGATGAGACACCCTTTATAGTTCAGATCCCTAGAAATATCTCTCAACAAGAGTTATAGAAACTGATTCCGATATAGTGAGTGACTAACTATGAGAAGCTCCATGTTAACCAAAAACTTATCAAGTTCATTGAGGCGACCTTCAGAAGATCTGTAGATGGCACGATCAAGATCATCTTCAAAAAAATCTGAAGATGTTCCCAGTTCAAGCACCTCAATCTTCTAGTCCATGATGATAATTCCGATCACCAAAGAAGGCAAGATCCCTATTGTCAGCGTGTACCCTGACGACAAACCTATCTTCACTGATGACACTTCATCTGGGACACTGACCTAGAAATATGTGATTCCAACTGTGACTGTTGTGACCACACTGGAGACACCGATGAGGAGAGCGATGACTCAGACGATAAAGATGATGACTACAGAGGAAGATCCTACAAACCTCCTTTCTCTCCCAATAGAAGATTCGAACTAGGAAAAAGTCTTTGGATAGGACTCCATTGCCAAGAGAAGCCAGATTCCTCTTGGAAATACCAACAATGCGTTGGGATTCTTAAAGAGGAAGGACTCCTCTTCTCGAAATAGGAAAGGTGCAGAACCTTTGCCAAGTCACCTCCTGCTCCTTCCATCTCATGCATGATGATCAACCCGACTACCTATAAAGAAGAATTTCCTTCCCTTGAGAGGAATGTTGATCCTGTGTCCAAAACGATGACTAACACACATTGTTCGACAAGAAGTTGGCCCTGATGGAAAGCCGAAACCCTTAAGCTAGGCTGAGGAAGTACTTAACTGGCAAACAAAAAATGTCAGATCCCAGAACTCTATCCTACAACGGATAGACCAGAAAATAGATGATAAAATCTCTACACACCTTGAAGAGACGATGATAAACTCTAGTATCTCAACTCTAATCTAAGGAAGTACTACAAACAACTTTCTTGAGAGCTCTCAAGGCTAGAAGAAAATTGAAAAAACCCAATTTTTGGAGAATTGTCTCATGCCAAAAGGCTCAAGGCCCAAATCCAGGAGATGGACAACTACATTGAGGAGAAAGTCTAACAACAGAAAACAGAAAATACCCCTCTTCTTCCCTATTTACATCATCTCCAGCCTACTCCTCTTTCCAGAACCCAGCCTATTCATCTTTTCAGAACCCCATCTTCGTACTTCCAGCCATCACCACAAACCTCTTGGCCATTACCCACAACCACTACTTATAGGTCACGACCTATACCAGTAGCACCAAGACCAGACAAAGGCAAGAAAGTCGTCACAC